ACTAAAGAGACATTCAAGTAGAAAAAATAGGCATTCTGTAAGTAGGTTTTTAAAATATTAGATGTGTATTGTAATTAAAATATGTGGAATATGATCAAATATTAAAGGAAAAAGAAAGAAAAAAAAATCGAAAGCTACTGAATGTTCAAGAACACTGAAAAATTAATTACAATCACAATTTAAAATGAACAATATTATCAATCAACAAAAATATATGATTCCTCAGAAAGATAAAAGGTTCTCAAATTTCTGAGATTAAGAAACATTCACCTGGTTTCTATATTTACAAACTACCACTGATTTTCCCTTTGGATTCTGCTAGCTATAAGCCATTTTATCAAAGTATTGTGATAAAAACTAACACATTAAAGTTTGAGGGATTAACTTTATTGCTCTGAGAAAAATCCCCATTGATCTTAGAAATTAAGAGTGGTAAGCATTCAATTGTGTTGGATTTAGAATCATTTTAGACTCATTTAAACATTTACCTTTTAATCGATCATAAACTTCACAGAGCTCAAAATAAATTTCAGCCTTCGTTTTAATTGTGTTTATTTTTGGAAGGATAGACTTAAGCACATCGATGGCCGCATCGGTGGCCTTTTTATAAGGTATGAACATAAGAACAGAAAAATCCAAGCGTTAACCTTCTCTTGGACTTTCCATTCAGGGAGTTGGGAAGGATGTAAACAAACACACACACACACACGGACTGCCACTCCATTCACCTAAAATAATAAAAAAAAAAAAAAACGTCCATGAGCGAAAGAAGGATGCTTCATACAGACGGGAAGTAAGTCAAGCAGGTAAAACGGCGTGTAAAAAAAAAGAAAGAAAAAGAAAAAAACACACCGTTATTCCAAGCGCTCACTTCGATCTTTATAAAAAGAAACCTGTTGTGCTATTATGACCACAGGGCCCCGTTTGAAGAAAGGGCGGGGGGAAGGAAAAGGCAGGGGAAAAAAAAAGAGTTGTATTCTACGTCATAGAACTTTTCACCAATCGCTGAAGACAAGAACGAGAATCGCAGTCACTCACCTGTCCCACCGAATCTGAAGCAGCTGAAGCAGTTGCTTGTGAGACATCGAAGTGCACCCCACGCAATTTTGCAATGAGACATTGGGTTGGCGAGTTTTGATGACATTTGGAAAAAAAGAAGAGTATACTGGTATACATTTTTTTTTTCTTCTGTTCTTCCGAGTGTCCACTAGACCTTGCTCCAATGGGTGTGTGAACAATTTTTAGTGACTATCACAGAAGTTAGACGTTCTGTACATAGTTTCTTGTAAATATGGGCTACTGGGATCATCCCAACATGTGGTTGCTTTTGGTTATTGGATTACAGATTGGATTATTGTCGCTGGCAGCGTCGGGTAAGTAGATTTGGTATTATATTGTAAAATTTTTTTAGTTTTTACCTATTACCAGAATTTTGTAAGTTTTTCGAAATAATTAGGTCAAACTAAATTGTCAGATTAAAGGAGGCGCTGTTAGGTTTCGACTTCGAAATTGACAGTAGTACGTTTCTCGAACGCTATAGTCCTCTTGATGATAAATTAAGTACATGAGTTCAGAAAATTAAGTTTTAAGCAGAATATTGTTTTTAAATTTATATCGGTCATGTACATCGTTTGTGAGGGTAATATATTTTTAAGACCGAAAAATAATTTTTAATACCGGAAATCAATTAAATTACTCAAAAAAGCAATGTTTCCATATAACCACTAAAAACGGGATGATATTTTATGGATAGTAATCATACATTTCATATAAATGCTTTATAATTGTTTCCATGGTAACATTATAAATTCGTCATTCACTTTTTAAAAATACTCATGATATCATTTTAATTTCTTTGTTTCAGAAAAAAATCGCATTTAATTTGTAAAATACTGCGCACATTCATACATTTTCCTTAAGGTATCCGACTACGTTCGGAACCGTGATTTTGCACAAGCGTATAAATGGATAATATTTATGATATTGAGTGTCACTTAGATTAGAAAATGTATATGAAATTGTTTAAAGAATAGTATTACAATACAAAATTATTTAAGTACAATATTTTGACAAAAAATGAACATAGAATGATCCATTTTCAAAATATTCTCCTTTTGTGAAAAATGCTTCTATTATAATAATATTTTGCCTATCTATAGCTCAGACCTCTGTACAGAAGCTCAAGTAGAATTTTTGAAATATATAACTTAGAAGTGGGTTTATCCATGTTTTACGACAACAGAGGGGAGAAATTTTAAGAAAAAAAACGCCGATAATTATTTCAATGGGTGATAATTCTGAAAATAATGTGAATTTGTCAAAAACCATTGTTGAGCCTCTGTACAGAGGTCTGAGCTATATACAGGCAAAATATTATTATAATAGAAGCATTTTTCACAAAAGGAGAACATTTTGGAAAAAATGTATTCTAAATTTTTTGACGAAATATTGTATTTAAATACATTTTTTGTCAAAATGTCCTTAAAACAATTTTATACATGTATTCTAATCTAAGTGACACTAAATATCATGAAAATTATCCATTCATGCGCTTTTTTAAAATCACGGTTCCGAACGTAGTCGGATACCTTAATATAAAAATTTTTGTGCAGTATCTTATTCATAAACGGTTTGAAGCACAAAATTACCCATTTGCACAATTTTTTTTTATTTCTGCTCAAAAGTGATTTATTTTTATTAATAAAGAAATAAAAAATGTAATACAAAAACATATAATAAGAGTAATTAGGTTAAGTTAATTGTTGTAGGACGTATTAAAATAATTTCACCGTGAAACATGCGTTCACGATTGCAATATTTTGAAGGTGGCTCAAAAAATATTTCACCTTACTTATTTGCGCATAAAAAAGGTGGGATATTTTAATATCACCGTGCTCCAAAGAGTTTAATGGAACTATGGGAGCGTAAAAGCATATTAATAAAAATACGTATTGATTCTGAGATAAAAATATTCCTAAAGTCTAAAATTCGAAAAAAAAATCTATACGGCTCATTAACTTGAGTAATTTTATAATTTTTCATTTTTTAGGAAAAATGAGAGGTTTATTATTAAGTAATGCATATCCAGTATAGAATCATGGCAATTTTGGCTAGAATTTCGTTTTAATCTCATTGTAGTTATAATCATTAGTCTGGATAAAAGTCAAACTTATATATTTCTACTTTTTTTCTATATTTTAAACTTTAATATCTTTAGGTCGTATCTTTATTTTTTTAGACAATGTATGTCATTAAAAACGTCATTGTGAATATTTTCTCAAAGAATGATTATTACTCTCACAGTTTTTATTAAATATATGATAATTCCTTAAGCGGAATGAACTAGTTAATTTATTAAGTCTTAGGAAAAACAGTAGATACCTTTTTCACTTTTACATATATATGCCAAAGAAACAGGGAGAGAGAGAGAGAGAGAGAGCTTATGTTTAAAATAAACCCTACATTTATTCCATGTATTTAAAACATGTTTACACAAAAAAGTCCAATTTATCGTAGAACATTTTTAATGAATTATATTTTAAGTCCCTTTGCGAAAAATGGTTCAAGAGTTCTATAAAATATAAATTTTTGCATTTTGTATTGCTTCAATTAAATCATTCCATATTTAAAGAACTTTTTAACATATTTTTCTTTTATTTTTTGTATTATTTATTAGGAAAGACTGTTTTTTTTACTCTAAAAAAAGAAAACAACAATTACACTATTTTTAAAACAGGTTTCGAAAAATATGTATAAAAAAAATCTGTCAGAAATTTGCATGTATATCGACTTTCAAACCACTTAAGTAAATACACTATATCAAAACAAAACTCGTACGAGTACAAACTTATTTTCCAAATGTAACTTTATGCTTCATTATACAAATAGCGTTATATTTCCAACATATTTTTTTATAACTTTTAAAATATAATTCAATTTAAAGGGAACCATATGTCATAAAACTTTAATTTGAAAGCTTTTTATATTATTTTTATTTTAACGAATAGCGCCATTTTGTACAAGATATATACATAGAGAGAGAGAGAGAGACTATATATATATATTCTTTCGTTTCGTTTTAAGACAATACATTTCAATTCGATTCAATTATATGTGTTTCCCATAAAATATTTTTCCTAAATCTAATTTTAATTATGGATTTTTAGATAAATTATACTAAGCTTTTTATTATAAACTTTATTCACAGTTTTTTCTAAAAAAGTGTTAGATTAATAATATGTTATTTTTATTTAAAAATCCTCTTGTTACTCATGAACAAACCGACGAAACCAAACGGAATATATACCATAAAAATAATAAAAATATTTTAAACAATTTTTTTTAAATTTAAATTTGAATTAAATTTAAACCTTTTTTTCCTTTTGAACAAGCATAGTTTGCGCTAGCAAACAATATCCTCAAGTTTTGATAGAATTTCAAGATCAGATTTGAAAAAACAATGTTCACTACATTACGTGATCTAGATTGAATTAAAAATATTTCTGAGATTATATATATTGGTGTTTAACAATAAGTTTATTCTCATTTTTTTTTGTACTATTCTTCATACTTAGTATAATACGTGAAGGATGCCTTAATGATTGTTATGAGGCCTGTTAAGAATTTAAAAGTGCATTTTCGTTATAAAATAACGTTTATTCTACGTATAGAACAACAGACTGTGAAAAACTATGCGAGTTATATAGTTATATAGTATTTAATTACTAAACTCTTAACACAATATTTTTTTTTCAATTCCTCCTATTAGTTCACACTCTCCCTGTATATATATATATATATATATCTTGTTCAAATTTTCTTCAATCGTGAATAAAATACTTTCTATTCATCCACTCAAGTTCAAATATATTTTTTAAACTTGTAATACACTTGATGTTAATACAGTTTTTTCGAATATTAATTCATTAATTAATGGATAAATAGTAACAAACAAAAATAATAGTCCAACACCCTATATAAAAGGGAAAATCACTCGTTGTGTCTCTGTAGCGCAATGGTTAGTGCGTTGGATTTCTAATCCAAAAATCGTGGGTTCCCATCCCACTTGGGATGGCCTAATTTCTGAGAATGTGATTCCTTTTTATTATACCATTTTATTGGAACAGTTAAACTTTTGATCAATAAATATAGCAACAAATAAAAATAATAGTACCCCACCCTATTGCAGAAAGGAAAATAGAAAATTGCAAGGAAAATCGCTTTCTAGTTTGTTTCCATTTAATAGTGTGGTTCTGTCCTATGTATATACATATTTATGTTAATTGTAATTATTTAATAAGAAGTAACTAAAATAAAAATTTTCTTTGTTGACCTTAGTAGGAATTGACTTAATTTTTTTATATATATATGACTTTGTTTATCAATATTATCAGAAGTTCCTGAATTTCGAAATAACAAACTTTAATAATACGCACCATGGGTTAATGCAATTTTAATGAAATCATTTTTGACAATTGATACCCAAGATTCCCACGTGTCTGGATGAAATGAATACCTCGTTTTTTTTTTTTTTTGAGAATCAGGTACTTGTTTAATGGTTGACAAATCACTCGGAAAACGTTACGGTTTAGATGAATTAGGAGAAAATGGAGAGATCCGGTTTTATTGAATTCATGCCGGAATTATTCCTCTCGACAAATCTTGTGAAATTTATGCTTTTACTGATTCCAAACTGCAGGTTTTACGGTAAGAGTAGTGATGCCTTTGGGTATTGAATGAATTAGTGCAGATTAAGATATGGGGTATTAGGAACTGTTATATAATCGGGATATTCTTATATAATGTGGTTTCGAGTTCCGTTGTAACTTCTGTTGTTTATTACGCTTGAATTCATTTCGGATTAATTTTTCTGTAATTTTTAATTTTTATAAAAACAGATTAATTGTTTTGAGGAATTTGTTTTCAAAAGTTTTAATACAACAGAATTTGCGTAATTATTTTTTCTTAAAAAAAATTGAGTGATAAGTTTATTTTATTATTATTTTTTTATTACGAATAAAAAGAAGAGTTTGTTTAGATTAATTGGAATTATTAAGCATTACTGGTATTACTTTCATTAGATTCATAAAATGTGAATTATTGTAAAATTAATATCATGTACGCACGCACTCGCACGTATGCACACATACGCGTGCGCACACACGCACATGCACGCTCACAGGCACACACACGTTTGAAAGGATTTGATAACATTTCTAAGCGATGAAACTGGAGTTAATGCTTTAGCGGATTTTTTTCAATACTTGAAAAATGCTTATGAATAGAAATAATCATAGGTTTCTTAGGCCTGCGTGATGTTTTTCATTGTTTTAACCTATAACTGAAATTGAAAGAATATTGAAAAATGCATAGAACCAGATTTTTCACTATGCATGTAAAACCAAAAATTTCTCACATTAGTTTTTCGATTTTTTTTTATTGTGAAGAAACTTGTATAGTAGCTAAAATAGAAATTTTGTCATGTCAATTAATTTTAAAGCCTATTCTAAAATGGTATCGTGTTTATATCATAAAAGTAACAAAAAAGTTTAACTGATCATTTTACAAATGTTTGTTTTTGTTTATTCATTAGAACTTAGAAACTTATGGCAATTTAGGTATATTTTGTATATTTTGTCTCGTAACTAACTGAATTTTTAGTACTTCAGTTCTGTATATGCCTTTATTTAATTTTGAAGCGATATTCATTAATCATCTATTCAAAGACAGATCTACATCAACACACATAAATATTACGAATAACAATAATACTAAAAATAAGTAAACTAGAAAAAAATCTTATGTGATGCTTAAAAGTTATCTTAAGGTCTTTCCCTTGAATTGTGTATATGAAAGGCCATAGCCATGGAATAGCTTCTCCAGTTAAGGATTCTACATAGTACATAGCAGCATTTTTTAGTTTTCTTTGCAGCATATTTTAAATTTTGGAAGAATATAAAGAATAAAAGAAACAAGTGGCAAAAGACACGTAGTATATTTCAATATTCAATGTCTCAAGCAAGGATATATATATATAGTGTAAGTAACAGTCCCATTGTTTCCAAACGAGACATAATAGCGTTGACTTCAATGAAACTATTCTTTTTTTTTAAGTGAAAGTTACGTGAGTGACATTATAGCCTGAGAAAAATATTTAACAAAAGAAGTGAAAAGGATAAAAAAACCCCAAATATTTCCGTTTTCAAATTTTTAAGATTATTTTAAACATTTAATAATAGTTTATTACGACTTTTTCCGTTATTTTTTTTAAAAAAAATGTTACTGTTAATTTGAAAGCAATTTTATGGGGAATGTTTTGTAGTTTGCATTGAAAGAATTTTTTTTATTGCTGTAAATTATTGTACTTTCTTTGTATGAATGCTTCAATAGTTAATGATGCATTAAGTTATACGAAAAAAATGTGTATAACAATTTATTCTTTTCCCATTGAGTAGTGTTCTATCAGAATTTAATTATAATTCTTTTGAAAAAATAATGAAAGTTTTCTGTAAATAAAATTAAAGTATTTTTTCCATTTTTTTAATATGTATAAATTTATTATAGTTTTTATAGCTTTAATTTTAATTAATATTAGAATAGAATGGAAGTATTTTTTTCTTTTTATATAAAAGATCGTATGTATATATATATATGTATATATATATATATATATATATATATATATATATATATATATATATATAATGGTATATAATCAGTAAACAGACACAAAATAATTGGGTGGAACTACTGTAAAATCCGGTGTATAACACGCACCGCCATATAACGTGCACTTATACTTCAGAGCTGCAAGTTTTAATTTTTAAATATATTCGCATCGCAGTATAAAGCGCATCCCCTTTATTACGAAGAAACCCGAAATGTACATATGTAATGCTGTAACGTTTCATTCGAGGTATTGCTCCAGGGTTTTTTTAAAAAAAAGTATATATACTTTTAGCAATACAACCCTTTAAGTTTGTAAGATATGTCATTTTTTAAAAAATAAATAGTATTTCGGTATGTGTAGAAGTCTTAATTTTTTTCTATGCTCATCTTTTTCTTTTATTTTTAAAGCTCCCATTTTTATACCCGGCGTATAACGCGCACCCGTAAATTTTGATCTTACTTTTTGTGTTAAAGGTGCGCGTTATACGGTACGGTTTTACAGTAATTATTGTTCTAAGGTTCATATTTTAAACCAATTATATTTTAAAGTTCTATCTTTCCCTTGGCACCACTCTGTATTGATAAAGAAAGTTTAAGTATGATACACTTATTTTAAATTCTGTAAAACAAAAAGTATATATTTAGAACAATCTAGGAGTTCCGCATGTTAAATTGTTAAATATGAATTTAAAAAATCAAATTCTTATTTAATATTTTTAATAAAATACTTCAGTTTCCCTTAGAAACAAAAGAATCTCAGAAAAAGAGTACATTAATAGATGACACACTCTTGAACACAATAAGTCCATCGATCAAATTCAGAATCAATTAGAACATTTTATTAGTTTTTGAGCATTTTCAAAATTCACTCTCTTTGTAATAGTACCATAAAACTTACATGTGTAATGTGAAGCTCAGCAATAATTTACATGTTTTTGAAAAATGGGTTGGAAAATTTTTTATTTTCTGGAGGTTGATAAAAAAAAAGAGAAATAATGCAAGGACTCGGTTGTTGGTAATGATGATGAACACGAAGGCAAACGTCCAGATGTTTCAATGGGTTTGACTGCAGGGCTAAAGAACTTCGTTAAAATTCAAGGCTGAACGATTAATTTATTGGTTATTCACTATTGAAATTATACGTTTCAGGAACTTCCGTATTAAAACCAAAGTGGATGTTTTGAGAAAGAAATAATCAGAACAAGCTGCGGAAAAAGTTCGATTTCTGAAAAGAATAGATGACTATTTCAATTTACCATAAAAAAAATATTAAAAATAATTGCTGAACTGTATTTAACTTAATTGAAATTTGAATTAAATGCCTTTTTTTTGTAAATTAATGATACATAAAATGTTGCCTCTCTAATGATTTACCCAAAACTATATTCGTCAGTTTTTCTCACAAGTTATTTCATTGAACAAAAATTGCAAACTTATAGTTTGTGTGACCATAAGATTATAATAAGTCTTTTTTTAGAATTAGCTGTTGAATGTTGTAAAGCAGTTATGGTTTAATGCGCAGAATATTTATTACTTTTAACAAAAAATTTCCATACCTCCACTTTGCAAAAAAATTCTTCCAAAAATACTACATTAATGAGTCAACATTTTTGACAATAAAACAGCGCAAGCAGTTTTTATAAATACAAGAGACATAACAAGATCTAGTTCCTGTTTAACAGAATACAAAGCGTTATTTTTTGTAAACGGATTTTATAAAATATTAGTTCATGAATATACTGTATTACCTATACAGTATACGTTTATAATTTTACGCATTATTTCTGAAGTTTAGTTTTCAAATTTAATAACTGAATTTGAAATCATTATATACTAGAGGGCAGGTGGAAAAAAGTCTTTAACATATTTTTATATTCTTGAATAGCAACTTTCTTGAATATAATAAATTAAATCTTAAATTATTCTTATATGTACTTAAAAATTATTATTCAAAATTCTTATGTATCAATATGAAATAAATAAATAGCTGTTGTTAAACTCAAATTTAGTGGCACAACAGCCTATGAGGGTCAGGGCCTACTGTGCCCATACCAGTATACGTGACAAATGAATAATGTCAAGCACAGGTTTGGTACATTTAGAAGAAATATTCCTGGGGAAACAATTTTATATCCCAAATATATACTGTGAGTTTTCTTTCCTCAAAACTAATTATTATTTATATAGATATATAGCTTTGTATCAATAAATAAAAATACATATTCTTCAAACATTTTTTTTAGTTTTAATAGATATAAAGCAGGGGTGGAAATTACGTCTAACACACGATCAACCGGTAGACCGCCAAGACATTTTGGCGTGACCGCCTGAAGATTAGCAGTTAATAGGTATATACCGAAATACTCAAGATTGGCTGAGTATGTACACTGAGTCTTCTACTGACT